CCCAGTAGCTTCTTGTTCCTAGTAGCGATGCCCTTTGCTCCTAGTAGGGTATGTTGTATGTATCATGTATCTCTGCTTCTCGTCTGTGCTTATTTTGCTTGGATCTGTTTGGTGTTGTCGATGGGTGTTGTCAGTGTCAAGTTTTCTTGTGTTCGTCATTGCACTTGGTCATGCGCGGCCGGGTGGGTCGTCTATCTAAACTCTACCCAACCCTGCCAGGTGGGGAAAGATCTGGAAGTTGCCAAAGTGATGGAACTAGAAAGCCGATCATGTTGGGTATTCGATGTTGTCCAGTGTCATGGTCTCACCTCGGACTGCTTCATGCGCTCTTTGCAGTTTTCTAACCTTAGGTCAAGGGAACAAATGGACCGTAGTGGGAGTGTGAAAAAAGGAGGGTGGATCACTAATTAGATAAGGTGAGACTGTGCTAAGCCACTGGGGTTGTGATCGGAACGTCAAGTACTGCCACCCTTGACAATAGAAAAGGCCTGAGGGTTCTTCCTAACATACCCCAGGCCTGGCCTAGGCCCAGGCCTCCTGAATCTTCAGCCCATGATATGTGTGACGTGCCAAGCAGCTCCACCACCTTCTGTGTGGAGTGGTCAAAAATCCAAAGCGAATGCTCCTCAACGCTGGGAGTCAAAAAGACTCGCGCCTGGCTCGATCCAATCCAAAAAAAAACGGAGGGTGTCAAATCTTTGTGCTTCACTGGAGGCAAACGCCTGTCTGTACGCATAACTATGGATACGAATGGATACGCTTCTACGTGGATGCGAGTGGCTGGCTTTGAGCCCACCAAATTCAAGTGTTTCCTTGAGGCTCTCTACTTCCCCGCCTGTACAAACATATCCTCAAAAAAGAAGTGGTATTGAAGCATATCGTGCCAGCCGGCCGCCCAACGAGGTTGCGATAAACCTCGAGCAACAAAAAACACCTTCAGCATGTGCATACTATATCGTACTATAATATGTAAGTTGCTCCGCGTCCCTGCCGCAACACTTAAACACCAAATGCTGCCTTGATTCTACAAAAGGTATGCAGGTCATGAAACATGGTTGATTCATGTTGATTCTTGATGATCTGAGAAACTGATTGTTCTTCTTGTTTCACTTGTCTTTTCACGTTTTCACTCTCGCCCTTGGAGCTACCTGCTGCCTGCACCTGTGGCTGGTCTGGCCCCTTTGCGAAGAAGCGAGCACAGCGACCTGACCAGCCATCAGGCTAATGCATTTGGCCCATCAATGGCAACAAACCGCAAATCAAACATGCAAGCAGTTCCTGTTTCCTACAAGAAAGCTAGGTTTAGCTTCATGTGGTGCTTTGTACCTTGAGGGGGGGCCATAGTTCAAACCACGGATACATACATATATATATATATGCAATGATTTGATGATTTGCCATTTGCAAGGCTTCATAATTATATCCCAACTGTATTCTAGAGATTCTAGAGTACAGTATGGTTGGAAAACTACAACAGTATATAAATGCCACAGTTCCCAGTCAAACATAATTGTGGTGAACAATCTGTCACAATCCTTGATATTTTGGTCAGAGCAAAACAGCTAGGCAGCATTTCTGTGCTTTAGCTACGAATCCCCAACCGGCACAACCCAACGGATACACGGTCAGAGTCAAGTGAACAAAACTATCCATCAAGTTCAAAGCGCTTGGAGTGAATGGTATAGTGTTGGGGTTGGGCCGCTGTGGTATGTCCCGCCTTTCGCTCCGAGCCCAACTCTACGACAAAAGGCTGCCATGCAGCAGTGACGGTCGCGAGTGCAAGAACACGCGAAGCTACGATGGCTGAAGCCAGAAGCCGGAGCACAAGACACAAAGCTCTATTAGTCTATATGTAATTGTAACAATGCAAGGATTAAACAACAAAAAACAATCAAAGAACAAACGCAACAAACTTGGTAGCTACACTATGACAAAATGGCCCAGGGCAGTGTCAAACATTGAGGGTCTTCCTTGCGTTACAGCTTCTATGCCTACAAGCACGTCCCCCCCCCCAAAAAAACATATATATATATATAAATCACCGAAAGTGCCATGGATCGGCAGATTCATGGTGGTGTTATCATAGAAAACACTTATGTCCCTCTCCAAACTGTGCACCGATCAAGGCCAGTTAAACACAGTATTGAGGGGCAGCTGGAAAGAATCGCTGTCATTGGACACTGCAGGAAATGGAGCGGGAATCATGCAAATCACTGCGAAGCAAAAGTGGCAGGGAACCCTGCTTAGCGCCAGGATCTGCAAGGAAGGTTTCGGCCAATTCCTCGAAGCAACCAACAGCAGCGCCACAATAATTGTTGCGAGAATTGGGGAGAAATGCTCAACACCGTACCAAGCCAGCCAACATAGGCTCAGAAGGGTTAAGCTATGCGCGACGTAGATTCGTCATGATTCGTCCACATGTGAGGGAAAACAAGTTAAACAAGAGTAACAAGGTGAACCAGTTGTGGGTGCCGAGGTTCTCCATCCAACTTGCCCTCATTGACCAGCTCTTGGAGGTGCTCTGCATGCTCCTGATTTGGGAAATACGATCATGATCATGATACGATCATGTTTGACAAGCCAGTTTACCTGCAAGTCTGTGATACGGGGTGCACAAGTTCCAGCCTGTTATTCTCACAACGCACACCACTGCTGCTCCATAACAGGAGCTCCCTGCTCCCGTGCTTTGTGCACTCGCGGCGGTGTTGGCTCTATGGCAGGCTCCTTGAAGAGCATGCAGTCAAGCTCACCTCTACTGAAATGGAGATTCCATCGTGCCATGAGCTGTAAGTTTGGGTGAACACAGCGAACACACCTCCCAGCTGTAAATCAACCTTCCAATGAAATCCTGTATGCCACGATGCTTGCACAACGTGTGGCACAAAAAGCCGAGGCTGTCGGCGGTCTTTTTCTAGGTCGCCAGGGCGTCGCCCAGTGCAGTTGTGGCTGTTGCCCTTATGTGCAACTGGCCGGTCGAGGCTCACCTGCCCGGTGCGAACAAGTCCGATGTGAAGGAGGCAGAATCGTGGTTTGGTGAGTAGTTCGATGAAGCTACCTTGTTGATTGAATGAAGTTTCCGTTTGGAACTTGACAGGGCCGCTCTTGTGGTACATGACCTGGACCTGCACAAACATTCATTTGAAGATTTAGATAGGGAAGCTGGGCTGGGCGTGAGTGTCTTGAACCCTCAGGACATCACATGGCACACTCAGCCCGGTGCCCAAGGAGCAAATGCCCCAAATGCTCCAGTTGCAAGCAAGGACATCCTTAAAAGCCACGGGTCTGACCAGCCCGTCGAAGGTCAAACACATTTGTCTTGCCGGATCCCGCATGACATCATCCTCTTGGCATGTTATCGCTTCACATCATCACCTTCATGGAGGAAGGCGCAGGACGTGACCGCAACATGCTTCCAAGACTGGCAATCTGGGTGCACGGAAGTCAGCTGAGTCAAAAAAACTAGTCCTAAAATCCTGATCCCAATGACAAATCATCGCAATTCCAAGCGGCGGTCTCTTTGTCAGCTGTCTAGTCTGAACTGGAATCAGTGTTAGAATCTGTACTATGGTTGGAATCAGAAGATGCCTGATCCTCACAAACATCTACGCCATCCCGCATTTTCAAAATATGAAAACACCTATGACTTTCAGCACCATGTGGCCAACTGGTCAGTTTGAAGAAGTACTGATGTCCTTCAAATCACCCATCACAAAATACAAAATACTCTTCTGCTGTCCTGTCACTTTACAGCTGCTCTTTTCTGAAGATTGTTTGATGCAAATATACAATATAAATATATTGTTATAGTGTTTGTAGACAAATATGTCTTCAGTATGTCATTCGGAAAATCGTTTCCAAGCTACATGCTTTACTTTCAATCTCAGTTAGCCAACAGAAATCGTTGCGGCGGTGCAGCTGATTCTGACCCATGGGATCACCCACTGGTGTTTTGTTGCCACTCAGCTGAGTCAGTCAGGGTAAGTTTAGCTAGTTCTGTCTATAGTTCTATGATTTACTGTGCTGACCAAGGGTTTCCTTTCCTACTTGGTTGTGCTGCCAAAGATCCGTCTTGTTGGTGCGGGTGTTCGTCAACTCAACCTTGCCTGGGAGCGAGCTGCAGCATGGAATGAATGGCAAGACAACTGCAACACCGGCCCACACTTGAAGTTTGCAATGTTTCAGCACAAAGCACGTGCTTATTCTAGCAGCTGATGGCTGGAGTCTGGTGTCCTTCCATTTAAGGGGGTCCAGCCCAAATCCGAGTCGTTGGCTGCTGCCGCACTTTTCCTGATGCAGGTGAGCATTCGTCTGACACGCTCTGCTCGGGCTACTTAGATGTGGGCCAACTCCGGCAAGCTTTGTCTGCTCTCGAGCGGTGCGTCAGATCCACCGTGTTCATACTTCAGTTACATATAGCAAGCGTCATGTAGCATGATGTCCATTGATGTTGAATGCATCTGGTCACAAGTGTAACAACACTGAAACAAGCGATGGTGTACCCTGGTCCTTGGTCAGGCCATTGCAGCCCTTCGTGCTATCCTCCACCACTGTCTTGTTGCGAAAGTCGCTGCAAATGACTTAGCAATAGCGACGAGGGCCGAGGGCAATGAGTTTTCGCTATTGTCAATGCTCTCTTTTTACGTCATTACTGGCATTGTCCAATTTGTGGATTTGGGCAACCGCACCGTCTTCACAGCAAAGGTCATCGGTGGAGCCCACAGCATCCTGCAATCTCATTCGGCGAAGAACTAACAATATTTGCATATTTTTGCACATTATTATCCTCCCTATCATCGAACCACCCCCAGGGCAAGGGTTGATCGTCATTCAATATCCATTGGAGCCAATACTTGAATATACTTCAATAATATATTTGCATAACATTACATAACACGGAATATATAAAATGATAGAAACGTCAAGCGGTCAAATATGGTGACATATTGTTCGAAATCCGCAATCATTGGATTCCTACAGGAGGTCATACTCCATTGAAGCTGAATAGGCTTTCAGTGACCTGTCGGCTCACGTCATACTCTGCTCGCAAGCTCCCTGTGTTCCTTGGGGTTTGGCACCAGCACTTTGCCAGCAGGACAGTGGTGCAAGGCACAAGTTCCTCCAAGGATGGCAAAGGTCAGGGCTGGCAAGCGTTGCACAAATTGACCAAAGCTGGACAAGGTTGGGACATGGTGGGGGCTACGCAGGAACTTATATCTCCAGCTACGCAGCTACGCCACATAGCTGTGAACCTATTCTGTGTTGCCTTCACCAGCCAGCTGCGAAACCTGCTGCTACAGAATACCATGAGAAGCTCTACGGATTCACAAGAGCTGGAGTCACAAGTATCTGCGGCAAAGAAAGCTTCCGCCCAAGCCCAAGGCGACTGCTGACCTGTCAGCCAAGACACGGCTGCAGCACACTTCTGCGAAGTCTCCAACCGTGTCGTTGGCCGCAGGGTTTGGGGCATAATCACCTGAATCTGGCATATTGCATGCACAACTTGAGTGTGTAAGTAGTCCTTTCAGAATTTCATCCTGCAGACCGTAAGTTGAGTTTGGACATTTCTACGCCAACAGACTCTTAAACCGTTAAATGTATGCAACCGCCGCGGGCACCGTAATGTTCATAGATGCGTCTGTCATCCACAAGTGAAGCACGTTGTAGCCAATAATCTCTGCCCCAAAAGGATTGAACAAAAATACAGTGTACTGTTGTTGTTTGTGTTTGCATCAAGGGGTGGGTGGCATGATGATAATCTTCGTAATCATTGCATACTGCCAAAACCAAGGCTTGCATTGTGTCGTGATAGGTGACACGGATGTGTGGGACTTGCCAGCGTGTGATGGAAGTCATTTACAATTGCAGGTGAAGTGAAGC